TATATATATATATATATATATATATATATAATATATATATATAATAATATACTGTATACGTGTGTGTGCTTGTGTGTGTATTGTATTATTTTACATATTTATTATATATTATAATAATTTATTACAATTATAATGGTCCTTTTTGTCCAGCAAGAAACATTTTAAGGTTATACATATAATATAATACAATATGTACTGGTCTTTTCAACAGGGTAGTAGACAGCAGACATTAAAACTTACCAAAATCATGTTGAAGCTAAATATTCATCCACCCATTGCTTTTTATATATAAATTATTCATTTTTGAAACAGGCTCAAGGCCTTGCTCACACCGCGAAGTGACAAAAATTAAACCACGACTACATAAAATCCACATATACACAAAAACGAAATACAAAGAACTCCATGAAGGACAAAATTTGAAAGTCGGACACAGTGAATACTTCACGTTTTGCAGTCAATTGTTCTTTTAGTCCAAAGACAACAGCCAGCAGAAACCCCCAGCTGGATGGCTGAGATTGACAAGTATATGACACATGAGTGACTGCTGCTTCATAGCCAGTAAGAGCAGATAAACATTCCCCCGCTCTCTCATGAGCGCTCAAAGGCAGCCTGGATATTGTGAATTCTTCACGCGGTGCACGATGACATAAAGATCCGCATTGACCAATTTTAATGAACGCCGCCCGGACCGGAGACTCCTCTTGCACACAACTCCACGAGAGCGACAGAGTTCAAGGACTCCTCGTCATCATCGTGATGAAATGAACTCTTCAGCGCCCACTCGAGAGCTTTTTCATCCCAAATCCCGTCAAACGGATCATTTTCTGAGAGGATGGAGAGCTCTTGTCACTAAGCTGGAAACGGTGCAGGGGGAAAAAGACATTCAGGTCCCAAACAATTAGTCACGACGTAGGCCATTTCCTGCACAGATCGCTAGTCCCGATGGAGATTGCTTCCCTAAGCAGTGGATAATATGAAAATACCTCAGTAGGTGGTTTGAGGTGTAAATGCATGTGGTTATTCAGGACACATATGTAAGCTTTATTCATCCCAAACTGAATTACGATAGCATGGAACATTTGGGAGTTTCGTGATGCACAAGTGAGCAAGCAATCGTAGACAGAGGAACCTCGAAACTCAAATACTTATCCAAAATAGGACAAGGAGAACACTTAAAGGAAAGATTTGTGGATTAGTAGATTGGATCTAGATCCATTTTCCAAGTGTAAATGGAATGTACACACATAATTGGACAGTTATATGATCGATCAAGGTGTATTAAGATGTTTTCGGTTCCCATTCCCGCTCTCTTTCATCCCAGTACTATTTCTGTCAGTAAAAAGAAATGAAAATGATAAAAAAAAGAGTTTAAAACCATGACAAATAAAAGAAAAAAATACATTTTAAATAAAAATAGTTAAAAAGTGACAAAAATTCAAATCATAAAAAATTACTACTTTAGTTAATGAAAAGGGACAATGAAAATAATAAAAACAATAATTAATAAGCAACAAAATAAAGAAATACTTAAAATAAAAAAGAATACATTTTAAATAAAATAGTAAAAATGATTAATTAAAATTAAACAAAATAATAACAATAATTAAACCGTTTATAAAAGTTTCTGTCAGTAAAAAGAAAATGATGAAAACAATAATAATAAAACAAAAACATAAAAAAATAAGACAAAAATAAAAAAGTATTATTTAAAAAATTTTTTTTAAATAAAATAAAAATAGCACAAAAGTGGCAAAAAATTTAAATAAAATAAAATTAGGAATATAATTAAAAACAGTATTAATAACTAAAATGACTGTTTCTGCCAATAAAGTGGCAATAAAAAAATGACAAATACGTTCATTAAAATAAAATTCTTATTAACTTAAAAATACTGGAAATAAAAACAGTAAAAAGTGACAAAAGTAAAAATAAATGTATAATTAATAAAAAAAAGTAAATACTACTACTTCTAATAAATCAATTTTGCAAAGTGTAAATAAAAATGACTGGAGAATGTTTTCAATAAAATACTTGACGTTTCTTTGTAAATGCTTGTGAAACTAGTCATTTCTGAGTTAAAAAATGTTCTACACCTTTTTTTTCAGTGATCTGATCAATCAAGACGCATGAAGTGACTTTTTACGTGAGGAGAACGAGTAGAAGGATGGATAAACAACCACAACAAAGGAAACAATGGAACACGGATGACAGAAATAGCACTAAACTTTCTCACTAAAGTCCACGCACTAATCATGGTCTCAGAGGACCCTGAATGGAGCTCATCCTGAGATGGAAACGACTGCTTAGATGATCAACACTACAAACAATATAAGTGGATAATAGTCATTTGTCATGATAAATGCTTGATTACAAAAGAGCTTCAATACATCAAGTGCCTGCATCGCAACTTCTACCAAACAGTATCTCATTTGCACAACTTTTTTGAGGAATCAATCAAAATGACTCATAAATGTGCGACTAACTCGTGAGTCACTTGTTTGAGCGACTAGATCTAACCCACAATCTCACTATGTACTGAAACAAACAGAAACAAAAACAAGTCTGCTTGTAAAAAATGCAAGTTTGAACAGCTCGAAGAGTGACTGACCTTCAAAGCAGATGCCGAACCATTAAAATATGATCTTTTTATTCAGCCGCTATCTCTCAAAAACACAGTCCATGGCCATGAGGGACAGTCTCTAGGAAAATAAAATACTAATACAGTGCTTCACCGCCCAGACTCTTAAGTGTACAGGCTCCCTTCTCTCATAAACAAGCTGTTTATGATGCTACGCCGAGGTCCTTGTTAACGGAGAAATACTTGAAGACTTCATTGCAGTAAGATCCAATCAAACCCTCTGAGATCTTCACACTTGAAAACAATAGATGAAAATTATAGTGGCTGGCCTGCACAAATAAATCTCTCTGTAGAAATAAAGTGTTGCGAGAACTTCAGCAACACTTCTGAACCTTGTGTCCGCTGCTACAGGGTGCTGTTTTGCTTATACCCCCTGAAATTTTACAATAGTTTGTTGAAACAAACTGTGGCCTGGCCTTTTATGGTAAGTCAGTCAATCGGCAGCCATCTTTAAATTGCCTCCAAACAGTATTTTCAATGTAGGAAATACTAAAATCTCTCAAACTTTTGGTCAAGATTATGTTTAATAATATACTTAAATCTTTTTTAAAAAAAGTATATATATATGATTTACTCACCCTCAAACCATCCTAGATGTATATGACTTTATTCTTTCAGACGAATACAGTCAGAGTTATATTAAAAATGTCCTGGGCCTTCCAAGCTTTATAATGGCAGTGAATGGGGGTTGAGATTTTGAAGCCCAAAAAAAGTGCATCCATTCGTCATAAAAAGTGCTCCACACAGCTCCACAAGCCATTCTGAAGCGA